CTATTTTTATCAAAAAATTGTGCAAATATAATTTTGGAGTTGGAGTAAATGAAAAGAATATTGAAAATTTTGATTTCACAAGTTTTTAAAAAACAAAAAGTTTTAATTTTCAATAAATATTTTYTCGTATTACAAACTTGCTTAAACTTGGAATTCGTCGTAATAAGCGTACATATGTACATGATTGATTATGTATATACTCAATTATAATWAATTTTACGCTTCAGCAAAATTTTGAAAGCTGTTTTCTTGGTAAAAGTGCTTGAGAAAAAAAAGTTAAAGCAAAAAGTGAATGAGAAATATTAAAAAAAAAAAATAACAATGAATGTATGYTTCAGCAAAAATTTTACGCTTTTTTCGTTTAGTATTTAGGGGGCTTCGGAGTAAAAGTGCATAAATAGTTAATAAAAAATTATTAAAAAATCAAAAAGTTAGTAAAATTGTGCTTAAACACATATGTATATGCGATATCAAAATTGAAATATACGTACACACAAGTGAAAAACAAATGCACTGCATAATTTTTATTTTTAAAATAAAATAATTTTTGTGCAAAATCAAACTGCAAAATGCAACAAGCCACTAACAACACTATTTACTATAGCTAAACATATGTATGCTAGCATACATGCGTATATATACCGACATATAGCTGCATACGATTTTTTTGCTCAAACGGTAAGCATACAATAGCGAAATCTTATATACGAAATTCAAGTTTGGCTCAAAGCCAGTCTGATCTAGCATAAGCATATTGCCATTTATTTACATATCCACATTTATATACTTCTGTATACACTTTAGTACATACAAATATGCCTTCCTTTGTATATAGCAAAGCTGGGTAGGTATAAATATAATCRCAAGCACAAGCGATGCCTCAACTTGGTCGCACGTTTAGACCAGAATTTCGCAATCACAAAAATCAGAAAACCCGTTTCAAGCGCGGCCAACGCATACACACACACACGTACACACTTCAAASCGTTAATATGTTTGTAACAAAAAATAAGCCTTAAACGAGACTTAAACGTACAACCACAAATGAATGTAGTCTGTTGACAGTGTGTTGGTGTTGTTATTGTTAACAACAATTTATTTTTGTATAAAATATCATTGGTGTTGTTGTTGTTGTTGTAATTGTTGAATCCCATGCTTATATTCACTTATTAATATTTTTTCCAGCAGTTTTTATTCTTTGTCGTCCCTTTTAATTCTGCATTTATTGCTTGCTTGGTTCGGCTGTTGCTTTGTACGCTCGTATTTGCATTGTTCGCTCGTTATGCCTTCACAGTTGATTGGTTTTTATTACCTTCTCATTCAGATGCGTGTCTTCGGAATTTCTTAGCTCAGAATTTATTAAATTTTCTATATCTTAGCATCAGATGTTTCAGAACTTGTGGAATATCTTGGAGTTGTTGGCCTGTATTTCCGGTTTCCTTTTACGAAATACTTCACGCAAACGACGCATAATACTCCAACAATATTCGCCGTTGACAGTTTGGTCGATAATAGAAGAAAACTGTCAACATAACCTTGATTTTTGGCATGCTTTGACGTGGTTTTTCGTGGTTTTTCGGCTTCGGCTCATCTGATCGTTCGTTTTCGGGTTGAAAGCATAGATCCAATACTCAGCGCCAGTAAAAATACATTTGTCGGCATCCTGGTAGTCAGAAAGCAATGTTTCACAGACGTTAACGGCGCTGTTTTTCAAAATAAATTTAGTCATTTTGGCACCAATCGTGCTTTCACGATCCGATATTCCAAAGATTTCAGTCAGATCTCTAACTGTTAATCCTCGATTCTCAAGCACAAATTTCTTTGTTTTATTGACGTGTAGATCATCAGTTGATGTTTATGGCCATACTGGATCCGGTTCGTCTTCAATGTGTTCTCACCTTTCTTTGAATAATATTTACCACTCAAAAACACTTGCTTGTGACAAACAATTATCTTCGAAGACATTTTCCAACATTCTGAATGTTTCGGCAACAGAAATTTGATTCCGCACTCAAAATTTAATGGAACTTTTTTGTTGTATAATTTCACTCATCGTAAAAGTCGTCGAATGTACTTCATGTACTTCAGAAAGATAAACGTATTCTCCACACTAATGATTATTTTGATCTGACATTTGGCACAGATATCATTGACAGTCATATAAACCTAGAAAAAAATATTTCGACGAAATTTAAATTAAAAAGTCTTACTTTACAGTAGTATAACATAAGGTTCTAATTTATAGGCATGCATTGTTAGATATGTTATATAAAGTCCCCACACTGCTAAATCTTACAATTAATCCTCTTAGGAACATTACTCTAGTTTTCGAGTTTAATTCTTTCTGATATAAACTCTATCTGATGTATGTATGTATACAGACATTTTCATGTACCTTAAACAATTTTAGATAGAATAATTTTTTCGTATATCTTACATAACGGTAGTAAGCGGCATAATGAACGTTCAAACCAAAGTTCTCTGCTTAAATCGTAAACACATTATATAAGTGAAAAAAGCTCGTAGAAAGCATTTTTCGACCTTTGTCTATGCATAGTTCTAGCTCTGTTGGTTCGAACCCTGTAGGGTGATAAGATGTTCTACTTGCTTTTACCAATAGATCAATCTCATTGGTTTCCATTTTTAATCTTTATCATAGATGTTGGATATAGTGAGAGCTATATTCTTAAATAAAGAGAGTTTATTGAATTAAACAGGAAAGAGTGCATTGGTATTTCGAAGAAATTATTTTATCTGTTCTCACGTCACATTAAAGAACTTCTCCGAGTAAATGTACTCGTAATTTGGATTTTGGTATAAAAAGTCTTACCAGCGCTGGACTTCTGGATAGAGATATAATTTTTCTTACTTGAACCCATTCTTTGCAGTTGATGTTATTTAGTAGCGCTGCTCTCTGGAGTATAACGAAGAGTAATGAGAGTAAACGTAGAGTAATGACACTAAACAAAGTTCCCCAAATTAGTATAACTAAAGTTCCACACTAATTAAGTTGTGACCACATAAAAGTTAAAAAAATTAAAAACAAAATCAAAAAAAATATATTTATATTGGTGGCAGCGTTGGCAGAGTTCAATGGCAGATAATAGTAGCAGATCTATTTTTCAACGCGCAACATTCTCTTCATTGTTAACACTTTTAATGTTTGTTCAACGTTGCGCACTCGTGTTRTTGTACTGTATGCACGTTGTTGGTATTTGCGGTTGACTTTGTAAGCTTTTATCGGCWGCGTGCGGTCAGTGGAAGCCCGCATGGCGGAGTGACAACCAACCTGTATATTATTTATGCACACACGTCTAGAAGTATACGCACATACATATATACATATATGTGAGCATGTCTATATTTCAATGGGTGTGTGTTATGTGGTTTGGCTCTATAGTAAAGGTGTGCTGTGATGAAGCGCAGCTGGTTGCTTCCCGATATATAACCAACTAAGCCAATACTGTGGCAGAACTCACCGTGGGCGTTCTCGTGTCAGTTGACGCCACAGACAAAGCAGATCGGTAAGCCATGCTCTGCAATAACGGGGTTGTATGCAGTTAAAAGGCCGAAAAAAGCGAACATTCAGAATTTTTTCTGAGAAAACTTTTAAATTTATTAATCCAAAATTTTTTACAGATACTATGGTATCTTTAAAACGTATTTTAAGACTTGGTTTTAGTAAACATATTTATTTGTAAATGAATTACAGCTGAACTCCGGGAGCTCCTCACAAAAAAGACCTTTTGCGGTGATTGTTATGTCTCTGAACTGGATCCTCTAAATTAAAAAACCAAACAGATTTCGTTAAAGTAATGTTAAATCAAGCAAAATGGAAGGAATGATTCTTTTGTTAAAATGACGGTTTCTCAAAAAAACTAAATTTTTCAACAAAATTTCGGCATTGAATTGCTAATAAAAAAATATTTATCGARGAGAAAAAAGCTTCGTTTAATTACCAAAAATATATTTAAGAAGCTCGTGTAAAAATGAGACTTATCGGCTTAGCTGTTTTCGAGTAATGTTGGTCACCGAATTTGAAAGTTTGGCTTTGAACTTCCAAGTACTCCGAAACGCCTTACAAATGTGCGTGTAACTTCGAAAATATTCATCGGAACGAGATGAAATTTTCTGTGTACATTCCCAAATGTAYAGTATGTACATTAAGAAAATTTAAAAAAATCGATTCTAGCTTCTAATTCCTCATATGATAATGTAATTAACTTTATATTTGCAAAAACCATACTAAAAAATCAGTAGTTTTTAAGGAACTCGTATGATATTAATCCATAAAATTTTGATATCCAAAAGGGTATATTTACTTTGTCATGATCTTTATAAAAGCCAAAAGATAACGGCGGAGACGCCCAAAAATATTAACTTTACATGGTATGTATATAAATGTTCAGCATGACGAACTGAGTCGATTTAGCCATGTTCCGCTGCTAGTCCGTCCGTCTGTAAATATATGTACAATTTTACACCTAACCTTTTCTCACCAAAAAGACCGATATCGAATTACTATAGCATGTACCTGAAAGTTCTGAATAAATTAACTTAAAAGAACCTAACAGTTCTATATATTCTTTCTCCGAAAGCTTTCTYATTTGACGAGATATCTTTATGAAATYTGGYMCTGAAGCTTCAAGAAGAAATCAAACTCGATTATGGGATTTCGAAAATYATATTGYTGAAGCRAGAAATAATACTACATATRTGCTCAAAAATGGAATTGAAATTGKTTGTTGGACATTAGTGTATAATGCTCTTAACACTAGGTTGTGGCCATAGCTGGCCATAGCGCACAAACAGTCCGTTTTGATAGATCTTGAAAGCATGAAATTAAGAAAAGTTCGTTGAAAAATTTATATGTCGATCGAGGTTAGGCAACACTTTCGCAACTAAAACTAGTTTAAGCTAAAGCCACCTTAACCACTGTCTCTTAATGCGCTGAACAATGTGAATGTCGTCATATAAGTCGTAGCTGATCGTTCCATCGAAAGCGATATTCGACCATAAATCTTCCGTAGAACCTTTCTCTCGAAAACTCGTAACGTCGACTCATCAGATATTGTCATCGTCCACGTCTCTGCACCAAATAGCAGAACGGGGATGATGAGTGAGTTCTAAAGTTAAATTTTTGTTCTCGAYTGCCTACTAWGTCCGAAGTAGCACTTGATGGSCAGCGTTATTATGCGTTGGAYTTCGAGGCTGACATTGTTGTTGGCATACTGGTTAGAAAATGGACGGATGGATGGAATTATCTGCTACTTCGAAGTTTGGCCGCCAACAGTAAAGTGGGAGTCAAGTCGCGAGTGCGGAAACTGATTGTTTGATAACAGGAGATATTTCGTCTTGCCCTCATTCACTACCAGGCCCATTGGCTGTGTAAACACAATAAAAAAATAACATGGTTTTAATATGGATTGCCTTTTATATATACCATACCTATACATACTTATATATATATATATATATACATATGTATTTACTCGTATATGCATGGTTACAAAAGTGCTCGCGAAAATAGTCACGAGATGAGCTTAAAGTGTAAGTACGTGTAAATTAAATTCACAAAAAACAAGTAAGGAAGGGCTAAGTTCGGGTGTCACCGAATTTACTCAAGTTATAACTTACACGGACGGATAGACAGACATCCGRATTTCAACTATACTCGT